TCTTATATTTATTATCACTATCATCCATCATCTCACCACTACTCTGTCGCCCACCACTACCACCCATCATTACCATCGTTGCCCACCCCCACCACACCTACCACCTCCGCCCTAGTATCACCCACCCCTCCCCTACACCTATCACCACCACCGTCATTCGCTACCATCCACTACCACTGTCTCCTATAAGCACCCGTCGTCGCCCTACCACCACCCACACGCTCCATCATCCATTATCGTCACTCATGACTGTTACTACCACAATCGTTACCAAACCCACCACCACCATCACTATTGTCACTACCACCACTACACGGTTATCGTTGTCCACCATAACTATTACCGTCTCCCACCATCACCTCTATCACCCACCATAACTACCAACGCTCACCTCCACTATAACCAATACTTAGATTTCTTCTCTCTCCTCTATATTTATAATTTAATTTTAAATATGAATATAAATATTTATGTGATTGATAATTTTTTTTGTTATTCTGTATCTTCAAACACTGGCAATAACTACTTATATAATAAAGTACAATATAATTTAAATCTCAAAAGATAAACAAAATAATTTTTACTTTTTTGCGATAGACATCTTTTTAAATTTTATTTTAAAATTAATTCGATGTCTAATATTAACACTCCAAATTTAATAAGAAAAATAAGTCTCTAAGGTTATGTTTGGGATGACTTTTCAAAAATATTTCTAATACTTATAATTTCTTATAAGTACTTTAAAAATAAAAATAATGTTTGGAATCACCTAACCACCTCCACCCCCACGGCCCCACCACAATCATCACTACCACCACCGTCGCTGCCGTCGCCACCCCACTACCATATCTGCCACAACAACCAATACTACCACCACCACAACCACACCCAACACCACAACACCACTACCACCACCCCAACTACCCCACCACCATCATCACCACCACTGTCGCCACCTTACCATCCCCACTCCACTATCACAACTGTCACTGCCACCACCTCTTCCGCCACCCCACCACCACCCTCCACTCCCACCATCACCCCCACGGCAATCACTATTACTATCATTGTCATCCCATTACCACCACAGCCGTCGTCCTTCCCCTGGCAATCATCTCAAAGTTATGTATAACATACTGTTCAAAATTTAAAAAAAAAAAACAAAAAAAACATGTAAAACATACAAAATAATGTACAAGAAAGTGTTTTTAAAAAACTCAAATCTAAGATTTTCAAACGGCCGAAGATGCAACAGCATAGATGAACATGAATTCAGTTCAACTGCAGTTGATATCTCAATTAGAAAACACTAATCCAATGCCAATGAAAATATAATGGCAGTATTTATTATTCAAGGGACGCAAATCAGTGTCAATAAGACAAAATGGCAGAACGTGAAGGTTTCACCACCACCAGGAGGCAGCATATAGCAAGTATTACATGCATCACTCGACCCATCAACTACTCCAGAATTTTCTTGTCAATGCTTCTACATTAGCAACAAAAACGAAAAGATTTATTGTTAACAGACACCCCCACTCCCCCCCCCCCCCAAAAAAAAAAAAACCCGGGCAGGCCCCTTTCTTTCTCTTTGCTCTTTACCTTTTAAGAGACATCTATCACATTTGCATATATGCTTTGCTCTTCCACCATATCAATTATCATTCATATTACAGAACCTTGCCATCTCTACTGCTTAAGAGAACCTACGTTAATTTCCATTATCAGATTTCTCGAAAGCTCCCATTATCAAGAAACATCTTCAGATTCTGCCAGGAACTCAGGAACTTCTTTTTAACTTACTTATAGACTTCACATCTGGATTATGTCTCCTTTATACTGATCAACAAAATCACATCTTGGAGCGCTTTAAGTAGACCAGCACACCAATGCCCGTCAGAACAACACCAGCAGCAAAAATCCCATATCGCATGGAGACCCATCCAGCTTTTTGTGTGGTTCCAGTTGCGGACTGTGATTTGGTTTCCTGTTGGCTTGAATCAGAATAGTCCAGATGCAATCTTAAAACCTGTTTTTTAAGACGTTCATGTCAGAAGAAACTTTACTGAATAGCAGTGCACAGTCAAAGAAGTAGAATCTATCGGTTGAAATGATAGATATAATATTATCTACTGATGTAGCATTCAAACTATATAGTACAATCACAGAGAGCTCACTTAGATAAAGAATGTCAACTCTTCATATGACTCCAATGGTTTCCATAATGCTACATTATGATGGTAATGACAGATAATAGACAGAGATCCTACAACGAAATTATCAGGTAACATCTTGATGATAAGTCAAGATCAAACAAATACTTGACTTTTGTTTATTCCTACCAGATCATGAGTGTGCCACGAAAGATTTAGGGAAAATTCTTGCGTAGAATCTAGAGAATGGAGCTAGTTGAAATTCAATAGACCAGAACATCAGCCTAATTAAATCCTGTTTTATATAGACCTTTTTTTCTTTTTCTGAGATATGAATGTTTGCAAACAAATATTGCAAACATTCTCTAAATGATCAAGTGCACGGAATCAATTTGAATTGATCTTTATGTGCAAGGACAATTAGATTCCATCAAATTTTAGAGAATCATCAAATATTTTGGAGAATTAATGTTGTATTCCATAAAATTTTATGAGCATCTTCATTTTTTGATAATGAACAATTGACATTCAATAAAAGAAAGGCCAAGGTACAACAATGATGGGCAGTGAATCAAGCCATATGCACAAAGAGGAAAAATGGGAGCAAATATTTTTAAGTTATACTATAAACCTCTTTCTTCCATCGCTTAAAACTACATGCCGCAAACCAATTCTGGAGAAAAAGAAAGAAAGTGATAACCCGAATTCCTTACTAGCCGCCATCCATGGAGAAGACAAAACTTAAGTCTCTCTTAGAAGTTCCTCCAACTCAAATTTGTCGTCAATGAGCCTTCTATTTCTTTCCATCCAAAAAGCCAAAAGAATTGACAGCAGCGCATAATTGCAAATATGGAAGCTCTTTCATTTTTCCACGGCTGTAAATTTCCACGAATAAAGGAGCACAGCCTTTTGGAATAACCCCATCCAACCTCGCCTCCCCAAATAATTTATGCCAAAAGGGACAGCAACAAAAAAAGATGATCTACACTTCCACTATTCACAGGTAGTAATCCTTCCATGACCAATAGTCTATGCAAAAACTGGTACCTTAACATGCACTTTAGTCTCCCAAATCTTCAAAAGGGGTTCAAAAAATGGAAGATCTATGATCATTAATCAACAAACGGAAGAAATATTTGCAAGAAAATGACCCCAAAGAATCAAGATTCAAACTCTTTTATCACCAGCCGACGACTCCAAGGACACCAATCCAATCATGGACGATAATGATGAAAGTTCCCCAATTTCCCATTCATTCAAACTCCTAAAAAACAAAAATCTCCTCACCATGAGAAGATAAAAGAAGAAACCCAAGTCATTGATTGAGCTAGCGAAGCCGAAACAACAGACACAGGAGAAACTTTAACAGAGGCAGGAGAACGGGAATTCCATTTCAAAGAAGATAGATGACTGGGGTACTCGATTGACATCGTAACCATTAACGAAAGAGAAAAGATATTTAGAAGAATCTCAAAAACATGGTGATCGATTCGACCGATCATGAACAGGGCAGCTAAGACTGGACAACAACATTATGACTCAAAAACAAACTACATAAAGTCTTAAAAAGACATCCCCACAAACAGCCTGACATTCTAAGTGAAACAACTCAAACCTCGAGAAATAATTCCAAAGACATTGACCCGACCCTAAACCATCACAGTAGTGTCCAGACCATTAATTGAGGAATCCATATTTACTCTTATAAAAGAATCACACAAAGACGCATGTTCCAACACGAACTTCCACAACTACTTTGCAACAAAGCCATATTCCAATTAACTCAATTCTCAACTGCCAATCCTCCCTTCTTCGTAGATACTAGAAACAAACAACCAACAAATTAAAGGAATTTTGTCTTTACTCATTGCAATCTTTTCCAGGATCTTAAAAGGAGACCAGAAATAAATGGGATACTAGCCAAGATAGATTGTATTAAAGTATATCTACTTGCCCTAGGAAAGCAGGCCCTTTTCCATCTTCCAACTTTTTGTGCACTTTCTCTGCAACAGAGCTCGAAAATTCAAAACTAGAGGATTTTCCCCCACTGAAAGCTCCAGGTACTTCAATGACCTCACAACTTATGATATTCGCAATCCCTTTAATCCTACTCCCATGACAAGAAACTTTCACTAGACTCTCAGTCATCGAACTTCAATCCCAAAGCCAAACTAGATATCTTAGTAATGTCCACAACATTTTGGAAATTCTTCTCCCTCCCAATCATGAAACACTCAACTAAGTTATAATCCACTACCCTCTCCACTAACCAACTTAGCCCATGAACAATCAAAGCAAAAAAGAATAATGATACTCACCCGATACCCCTATAAATAATAAATCTTCCTCATGGTTTACCATTAACAATAAATCGAAAATTCAAGGAAGTTAAGCACCCTTTAATCCATCCACACCCAAACCTTTTACCAAATATTATAAAATCTGAAAAACTCCAACCCACATTTTCAATGTTTTTCAATCACAAACACTATCCTTTCCCTACCTTTCACCCAATGCTCCTCGAGTGCTTCATTTGCGACAAGCACACAATATCCAAAATCTGTCCCCCCTTCACAAAAACACCTTGATATCTCGAACTTGTATTATCCAAAACTTTTCTTAGCCCTATGCATAAAAATTGCACTAAAACCTTATTTAGAAGAGACAATAAACTTATGGATCTATGGTCACAGATATCGAAAGATACGCTTTGTCGGAATTAAAGAAAACGTAGTCACATAGGCATTAACAATAATCATCCCAGAACTCGGAAGCTGCTGCTCTCACCTCACTTCTCACAAATAGTTTTTCCAACCAACTTGCTTTCCTTCTATTAGTTAGATATTGATCCAACCGTTTATTCTAGGCCACTCACACTCTTGAGCTGAATAAAGCTTTTTAAAAAGCCCATAATTTCTTTCATACGACAACCCTCATCCTAAATAACTGAATCTTGACCTATCTCCAATTTGTTTATCAAATGGTTCCTCCTACCATTAATCAGCTTATGGAACCACTTAGAATAATTATCACTTCTTTTCTTTCTCATTAAACACCATCAAATTCTACCATGTGTCTTTTGTAATTATCTTTCAACTCCTCGATAATTAACCACTATTTTTCCTAATTTATTCGCAAAAAAATATCTTTACTATCCAAAAACTTTCTATAATTTTTTATCTATTATTTCAAGTGATAAAAAAAAAGAGAAAAGGAATAAATAAAAAATTAATATTTTTTTCAAATTTATTAAAAAAAATTAAAATCCAAAAATTTTTGGAATTGTTTATCAATTTCTTACGTGATAAAATAAAAGAGAAAGTGAGTAAATAAAAAATTTTAAAAAAAGAGAGACGACAATTTCTAATCATGTGCATTGTATGGGGCATATCGCTAGTAATCATTCTATCTGTAACAGTTTTCTTCGTTTCTTGTAACATAGTAGTATCTTAATTAGGTTTAACCACTACCTCCCTAATAGACATTCTTCTATTCTTATCATCAAAACCTTGCAAATTCTAACTATGAATTTTCATTGAGAAACATTGTCAACCCCACCAATCCTCCTAATACTACTTCCTTCATAATTTATCCCCAATTCCAAATTTTTAATATCCTTAAACCCTTTCTTTTTCAAGTACGTTCACCTTTGTTGGTTTTTCCACCCTTCCCATTAATAGGAACCAAGGACAAGTTGAGCCAAAAAATTTCTCAACAACCTAACCCAACTCTTCATCTAACAAGTCGGCCCTTTGGACTCTTCTAAATCATTATCTAGAGTCTATTTCCCTTCCACACTTATCACCAACTAATTTTCACCTCCCACATAATCTTTATCAACATTTTTGTTTGATTCCCTTACTTTCCAAAACTCTATCGTCACAAATACAAATAATAGTATCAACGTTCTTAACAATACCGTTAACAACCAAAAGTGTTTGGGAGGCAATACGCCTCGACTCTCTCTTCTCAGACTTATCCTTTTCAAGATTTTTTAACTAAACCAACTTATGAGAGAACTAAACTCAACAACCAACCAAAACCAAGCCTTCCTTATTTTTGAAGGACGAAAGAGTAATACACACCATTTTGTTGTCGAACTGAATTCAAATCCAAGGGATTCGGATGATTTTGAGCAAATCAAAATTATTTTAGTATGAATTTTGATTTCAGCGCGTAACCACCCTCCCTACCTTAGAACCAGGGTTACCTGAAAACATCAAACCCCCTACGATCCCCGATCTGGGTCGCACGACCCAAAACGTGGGTCGTTTGCGACCTGGATCGGTAAAATTAGCGTCCCCAATTTTTTGCCATAACAAGGAATTACCCACCCCAAATCAATATGCCAAACTCAATCCTACCACAAATTTGTTCCAAAATTTCAAATAAAAAAATAAAAAACAAAGAACTCAACATATAATGTTTGAAGATGGCAAATGAAATACCTACCTGGAAGTGCTATGGATCGCGCGTTTGCCTCGATCGATCGATCGATCTCCTTCTCTTCGTCGACTTCGCAACTTTGCAACTCACAAATGCCTCGATCGATCGATCTGTATCTCCTCCTCTCTCTCTGTTTCGACATGGGTCTCGTTTTCTTTCACTCGTTTTCTCTCTCTCTCCTGTCTAGAAGAACTAGAGTCTGATTGACGAAAAAAAAAAAGAACCGACTTATATCGGATGACCGAGACTCTGAGTCTCAAAAAAAAGTCTTTGACAATGTGTCGTGTACAACTACAACACTCAAATTTTTTTTTGATAAAATGACAGAAAAAGCCCTTTATTTTACATGTCTTATATCACACATTTTGGATAAAAAAGTAAAAGTACTATTGCCTACCAATTAGGTAGCTGTACATTTTTTTATACCCAACGAGCTGGCAGCCATATATATAGATATTTTTCCAAAATTTTACCCTAATATCTACTGCGTATCTTTGTCTCTCTCTTTTTCTCTTTCTGTTTACTCATTATTCATTCTACTGTATTGAATTTTTTTTGCTTAAAAAAATAGTTTTTGGTAAAAAGAGGGAAGAACAAGACTCTTCTCAAGTTGAAGAACAATTCGGAATTAATATTCAGAATTTGGATGATTCTGCTAATGAATAAGAAGTTGAACATATTGAAGTAACGGAAGAAAATAACACTAGACAACCACAAAAAAATCGCACACAGGAAGATCAATTACAAGTTGCTGCAAAATTGAAACCACTACTCAATGAAGTCAATCTTATTGGTGCAGCTCAGGGGAAAAATCCAGGGGATCAAAGAGTTGGTCAGGTAAACATTGTGGTGGTAAATTTACAAGTTCCTATACTCGAATGCATTACCATTTTTTTGGTGCCCCACCCGGGAAAAAAGCATAAATTAAACGGTGTCAAGTTTTGATGAATAATTTGACTGAATATGCAAAATTGCGCGAAAGTACAAAAGACAGAAAAAATAGGAGTTTTTTCATCCCTAAAAATTTTTACATTGATGAAGCGGCAACCTTCACCGACGACGGGATCAATTGAAGATGCATTCAAATAATGGATCAAGACATGGTTGACTTGAAGGTCATGAGGGGATTATGTGCTAATGAAATTTTATTTAATGTGTTGAGAAAACCGCAATTCAATGAGATGATTTCAGTTATAAATAGAGGACTTAAAGGATACAAGGCTCCCAGCTATGAAAAAGCAAGAACTATATTATTGGATGAGTGCAAAAAAAGTGTTGAAAAAGATTTGATTCCTGTTAAAGATACATGGTATTCTAATGGGGTATCCATTGTATCAGATGGGTGGACTAATGTGAAGCATCAACCACTTATTAATATCATTACTGCAAATAGTCATGGAGCTATGTTTTTAAATGCTAAGGATTTTTCAGGGATAGAGAAAACAGGTAAAGCAATTGCTGATTTTTTGTTGAAAGTCATTGAAGAAGTAGGTTCACTAAATGTCATTCAAGTAGTGACCGATAACGCAGCAAATTGCAAACTTGCGGGGAAAGAAGTGCAAAAGGTACACAAACATATATTTTGGTCTCCTTGTGTTGTTCATACTCTGAATCTAATTTTTAAAGACTTTGCAAAGGAATTTGAATGGTTTAGAAATACTTATAAAAGGAAAAAATCTATTGTTAAATATTTCTTGAACCATACACATGTTTTGGCTATGTTTAGAGCTCAGTCTAAATTGGAGTTATTAAAAGTGGCTAAGACCAGGTTTGCATCGCATTATATTTTGTTGAAGCGACTTGTTGACTGTAGAGAGTCCCTTGCAACTACCATTGTTCTCAAGTCATGGAAAGAATTGGTGAAATCTGGGGATGAACACACAAGGAAGTTAGGTGCTTTGGTTACAGAAACTGTTATTAGTGAAGAATTTTGGGAGGATGTGGAGAATATTATAAGTATCACAAAGCTTATATTTTTTCTTATTAAATTTTGTGATGGGGAAGGTTGAAATAAAAGATATTATAAGGGGTGGAAAACACGTTGATAAATTTTTCTAAATTGAAAAAATTATGCTCGACAGATGGGAGAAGATGAATATTCCTTTGCATTGTCTTGGGTTTGCACTAACACCACGATTTTATGATACCCAATATCTTACTAAGCTAGCACCGAGAGGTACAGTTAGGAAAACTCTAAATCAAG